ATTAAAAATTGCAACATTCATCAGAAAGAATGAGTTACAGTGATATTACTCAATCCAGTTTTAGTAAAAAAAGTGTAAAAATTTCACTGAACTTCCTTACAAACAGATTGAAAAACTTTGCTGCAAACCTATCAAAATTGTTGAACGGGTTTGGGAGGCTCATTTCACGCCTACAGAGGTCGCTGCATTGGCTGACAAGGTAATGCATATGTTTGATTAGGCTAAACTTTGTTATCCTTCGACTTTTTCAACTTAAATAATGTTAAATGTGTTCTAGGCTAGTCTGAGCCGTGACCCATGCATGGTTGAAGCTGCCGCAAAACTTGCATTGAGCGTATTACCGAAGGCATATGCTTTGACAGCTGCAGAAAGCCAAAAAGCTTTGCATCAGTGCAAGGAGCAAAGTTCTGAGATGCTTGAAAAAGCATGTCGCGCTGTTGAACAGGTTCTGTTTACTCGGTTAATTGAAAAAAACCCAAAAATTTTGTTTTAATAAAGTTCCATCGAAGTGTCACTCTAATAGTTTTTATCATATATATATAAAGTCCTTTAAAGAGGTAGAAAAACTTGAATTAATTGCTGTTTTGAAAAATTCATTATCAAGTGATTTAGGGTGAGTTAAGTACCACAGATATAAATCTTCCATTCTCGAAAGAGTTGCTTTTTCAGGCAGCTGAAAAAGATGGTGTGTATCCGGAAGTGCTGTTCAAAGTTGCTAGACATTGGTTCGATTTGTTTGTGGATTCTGAATCTGTTAGTAGTCCACAGACAAGTTTTCAGAACACAATTCCACCGCAACATCAGACTGGGATTCTCCAATTACACGGTGATATTTTGCAATCACAGGCTCATGAGGTAAGCCATGATACTGGCACCACTATTCATTCTTTTGATTACCTTGGGGCTACAAGTAGTTCTAATAGAAGACATGTTAAGGGAAAACAACTAGGAAATGCTTTCAAAATCATCTTTTTTTGCCAGAAACTTCTAAAATTACAATAAGTAATAAAATAATATTAGGAAGTAATAAAGATAATTTGTAGAGTAAGCACTGCAGAGAAAACTCATAATTTAGAACATAAGTCAAACTGTGTAGACTATTTTCAGTTTAGAGACGCACTATGATAGAATGCGGATTGGATTGAATGTCGGTATTTTTCTTATTTTTCACATCCTTTCATTCGTCTGAAGCAGAGTGGGTATGGTACGTGCTAACAATTTTTTTCCAGAGCATTTATTCTGCGGCAAATCCACAAACGCTACAACTGCCTGTTCAGTGCAGACCTGTGCCTTATGCGACAGCTTCGTATCATTTCATGCCTCCTCACCATCACCTTCATCAGGCAGGACCACATCGCCCTCCACTTTATGTATCTCCAGTATCATGTACTCAACCGCAAGTTGGAATTCACTATTCTCAACGGTGAGCATACACAATGTTGATCCAGCTGGAGACATTTCCTGTTTTAGTGTTTGCTATCAACAAAGCAGTATAGAATATGGATGTCAGATGTCATATCGCATAGAAGTTTTATTTGGATAAGTTTCTTGAAAGGAAACTTTAATATTTACTCAAAGATGAGCAGTATATGGTTGTTAACATTTCATGCCGTCTTTTTAATAATTCTTTTTATTACAGAGGACCATTGCCAGTTGGTGCGATGTCAATTATACCGAGACAACAGCCAAATACTATTTATCCTCCGTCTGTGGTTGGTGCTACACCATCTCGAGCCTTACACATTAGTCATTCAGCTCCAAATTTAAGTCCGATGCAAGCTGTTCAGATCTCTAGACGCAACCAGCCGTTGACTGTTTTGCAGCAACCTCTTTGTCTTGGTGCAGGAGCGACCCGCTGTCAGTTTCCGACTGTAGGGGAACAGTGCATCCAAGTACTTTAAATTTTTTAAAATTCATATTTGCTTCCTAAAGATGATTGTTTTTCACTAAACTTCCTGCCGTTTAGAATAATGAGAAAATATTAAATCCACAGATGAGCAATAAACTCAAATTATAAATTTCATATTATGGAAGCAGAAACATATTTTGATGAAAAGAAGTATACTAACTTTGTTTAATTCCTATAGCACTTTCAGCCTATTCCAATAAACGATGCTCTACGGCATCATCTACCTCCGCCTACATCGCTTGTACTTTGTCAGTCGGCCTCGCAACCGGTCTCATATTTTGGGCACGCAACGCCTCAGGTTTGTTTTTCGGTGAAATAGCAATTAAAAGTTAGCAGGGTTTATTAGTGGGATGGACATTTATGTATGTTTTCAATTCTAAATGTGTGAAGGATTTTGTGAATCCCTTTTTTGTTCTCTGAGTATCATTTTCTTCTTTAATGCTAATGAGCAATATGTAAGTCATTCATTCAGTTCAATTGCAGCAGTTTTAGTTTTAAAATTTTCCAGCCTCCCATAAATGTTCCGCTACCGTCGCCAAGTGCATCTGTTGTTGGAGATCCTCGTATGGCGAAGCTTGTTCATGCTCATCGTGTCGGAATGATAGCTATGGAAACAATGGGAAATCGAAACTTGGATGATAATCGTAGTTACGCGAAATTTTCTCAAGCAAGTTATAATTTGTTGCAGGATGCGATTTTCACCGATATCTGTTTTTGTGTGGAAGCTGGATTAAAAAGCAGTATTTATTACCATTGGAAAGTTGCAGAACCCTGCTTATGCAGAAGACGTTCGTTGGTTGTTCACAGTGGCAACACGATTAGGCGGCGTTTTTACCCAGAGTTTTTGTGAAGTAGCAGCTCGGTCTGTTGCATCACCATTCGTTCTTTTTTCATTAGCTGTTGAATCAGCAAAGGTCGGTACTTTCATGTGATATACTATTCTTTTCAACTATGAAATCGGGGAAACTTGAACTTTTTTCTGCAAAATTGCTGTGGGAATTTTCAGGTCTTTCACTGGCAGATGCCCTCTATTAGCTACCATTCACAAGCTGTAATTCACCCGATTCGGCCTCAGTTAACCGCTGGCGCTCCAAATGTAAGATTCAAGAAACTAAGAACATTTCAAGACTTTCGAAGGACTGAACAGAAAGAAAGAAACGAAAATCCATTTCCTTCAGATATTTTATATAGCATAGCAGTGCCTAAAATAGTTGCTGTAGGTACGGACTGTGCTTCTGCAGAATGGATTTGCGCCGCCAACAGCCGATTTGATGCAACATTGCGTTGAGATGTTTTATGCTGCATCCAGCTCTAAGCTTAGCCATCCTCGTTTTGTTCCCTCAGATGTTGAAGAGGTAAGGTTATTGGTTGGTAATTGTGACGAGAGTTGAGCGAAGTTGGGTAATTTGCAAGTAAAGAGTCAGGATTAATTTTACAAAAAGATTTTAAAGTGAATGGAGCATCTATTTCGTGCATAGAGCATTATTTGCTATGACGGAATATTTTTTTGCATTGTTTTTGAGTATTTTTTTCTGGGTAGAAAGAAATTTCAAGACTCTGATGCTTAGCTGCACAGAATGTTTATACTTATTTTTTCAATTTTTTCTGTTCTCTGGTTTTATAGTTCATCTCTTATTTCATTCAGGTCGTTCAACTTGTTAAAACAGCGAAGGAAGCGTTCCATTGGATACCAGGGCCGGGAAAGTTAATGTTTGATGATTTCATGCGACATGTTCGAAAGCAAAAGGCTTGTAAAAAGGATGTTGCTCAAAGAATCAATGCTTGCGTTCAAAATACAAACTGATGATCAGAAATCATAAAATAGTATACCTCTTTCACACTACCTGATGTTTATTTTATCAATTAAAATTTAATGATGAATGGAGGGGATGATTTGGGAGCTCGCAGCTGATGTTTATTGACTGACATGTAAATAGCAGTATGTACAGCTATGGCATGTTGTTTCCGCCAATCAGTCAACTGTTATAAACAGTGTGCAGTTCATTTTATATATGTATGGTTACGTAGTTGTAAATGATATCCTTAAGTTTATTTCATCATTTCAAAATAATTTTATATACTTAGATTGGAACGCATCGTAGGAGGATAAGGGTGCTATCTGGTTTTTTGTTACCATTCGCGATGATGTTGTTGATGATTATGACGTGAATTGATTGACAGGAGTAGTTCAGATTTACCTGTAAAAAAAATGAATATATTCTTTAAAATGGTGGTCCATTCGTTATACCTTATGTAAATATAAAAACTATCGATAGTATATAAGTTCAGTATTTTCTTGGAAGATTAAGGATTATATTTATCATTTCATTGATTTTTTCGTGCAGAAGGAAGCGATTGATGTACTGTCATGGTATTTCGTTGAAGTCTTTTCATCATCTGTTTTGTTGATACTTTTGAAAATTGGAAAGTATGTATCACACAATAATTCTTGAAATATTTTTGTAATTGTTGAAGTTGGCACATTGCGAATGAGTTTGTAATGAAGTGTTATCTGGAGATATTTGTAATTGATATACGGTACTGCCCAATGATTTAACCGTAACATACATGTATGAATTGAGGATACCTGCAAGTAAGGCTTGGTAGAGTGTGTACTCGTCTCATCATTCAAGTAAACAATGGTCTTCCGTCTACTTTTCTAAGAGAGTGGTGTAATCATAAAGAGGATACGCAATTAACGGTTCTTCTGAATACCATCACATTTCACTCTGGATTGTTTTTCACCGGTTTGTTAATAGAGAAATACAATAGAATGGATCATATAAGAGTGATTGGAGCGCTCAAATGATGTTTTAAGTTCTATGGACAGTTCCAGGTTCCTGTAGGTGGTATAGTTTGTTTTTGTGTGGACTGCAGGTAGTTCTTTTCTTTAGAGTGTTGCTTGAAATTCATAATGACGAAGACCGGAACGACTTCGTCGTTCCGGTCTTCGTCATTATGAATTTCGTCCGGGATGTGAGTGAAATATTGTTGCTTAAGAGCGGACTTTCGAAAATTGAAGATTAATTAATGGACGAGTAGAAGTCCAAGTATGTAGAGAAAGTTGGTGCTTGTTGGAATTGGAGAATCATTCTTTGATGAAGAACTGGAAAACGCAGAATTGGGAGGTTTTCTGTGTATTTAACTTGATGTGGTTCTTTCTATATTTGTAGTTTCATTTCCGCATCTTTTCATATAATCCTCTCCGCAAAAGTGCTTTCTTTGAACTAAGCAATTGTGGGATGGCATGTTTGTCCAGCGAATCCATTAGGCTTATGAAGTCATGTGTTCCACGACATCCTGTTTTCTCCAAGTAAAGTTAGGTCTGATATATTGTTGCACAATTTAGGAGGTTTGGTCGATGCTACATAATTCACAACCGTAATTGCTTGGGACTAATCTGTTCCAACCCTTATTTATAGGACGAAAATCCTGCCATAGAGTTGAATCCAAACCACTTGTTCTACAATTGTTACAGATTTGATTGTTAGTTGTACGATTATTATATGTGGGAAAGAGCTACAACATCTTTTTGGCGTTTGGGCAAAAGATTCAGAAATTCTGGAAAGGGAATTGATAGGAAAAATCACAAAAACAACGACAGCAGTGGAACTAAAAAACACGTAAAAAACAAATCAGCGGAGGGCACCTTTCTTCGGGTAACTTTTTTATCGTTAATTGAAAGATTTAGCAGAGATATCATTCTGTTCTCAAGCACTGCTTGTTATTAAGCTAGAATTTCAAGTAAAATTTTGTATAATTGTTAATTACTGGGTTTTTAAAGTATAAAAAGTCTGCACGATCCCTTTTTTCAAGATAGTCATATTAAAGAGATTTAGTTTAAATGTAGAATTTGTATCTCTTAATCGGAAGGTTTATTTTTTTGTATTTTCTTAGTTTTCTATGCATAAGTGGGATCAACTGAAATTTTTTTTGTTAAATATTGAAAATATTATTTCATGTTTTTTCCAAGTCCTCTTTATTTTTGTATATTTTGTGTTGTTTTTTTTTTCCTCTTTTATTATATATATATAATATTATTCATTATATATCGGACTGAAAGCAGTCGATATACAGTATATAATGAACAGTCTAAAATTTATCGTTTAATAATATTTTCGTTCCATTTATTATGCTTCTGTTATCTTGCAGAGTCAGCCGTTCACATCAAGTTTACCCTCTGCAACGCATGTTTCGTATCTTTCGTCGATTCTTTCTTCACTGTGGCCTTCTGATGGGGCGAGGGAAATAGAAAAGGTTGACATGAAGTGAGTTTGCAAGTTTATTTTATAATATAAATCTAATATACGATTTCAACAAATACTAGCGGCCGTTTTAACGTCTCTTGAAATCAAAACATATGAAATTTTAGAAACAAAAAGATGACGGTAGTGGGTTTTTTAATTTTTAAATTTAATTTTTAGATTCGATTTAGATCAGAATTTTCCATTAATAAGAAGTTAATCTCGCATCAAAAATAACTAAAAGCACATTATTCTGTTAATTGAACAAAAAAAAGCGGGAAATCAGTGCAGTATTAGCACTTTCAAGTATCGTTATACTTTAACAGCTGACATAATCACTTAATGAGCCGATCTAAATGACTTGAAATTAGGACCATGAACTTGATGACCTTGTCCTGTGTATAGTCACACGACTGCTAAGAAAAACGTTCCCGAAGAGAGTCATGTATTTTGGAAACTGCACTTCTGGTGAAAGAATGTGAATTTTATTTCTCTTGAATTTTCGCTTCAACTGAAAAAAATATATTTGAAGTTTTTTACTTTTTTGGATTGTTCCTGATATCAACGTTGCAGAACACAGCGTATAAAAGCAGTTAGTAAACCAAAGTCGGCACTTTTCGACCAAACGAAATCATTTGTGTCAAGCTTACTCTCTGCAGAAACAGATGGCTCTGTGTTGTTGAAAACACGAGAATTGTGTAAGCATTATATGGAATATCCTGAGGCGCGTGCTGCTGGGTTCCAGGTCTTCATCAGGAAATTATTTATAAATAAAGATAGAAGTGCTCTAGAGTTCTGTAATGATTTATGCAACAACTATCGTTTTTTAACCTTCGTGGGTGAAAGTATCGAAATAGAAATATGGCTTAAGGCAATATATTTTTTCGTTTTCTTGTGAGATTAGAAAAGAAATCATTTATATGTTCATTTATTTCTTTTAGGAAAGAAATCATTTATTTGTTCATTTATTTATTTTAGGAAAGAAATCATTTATTTGTTTATTCAGTTCCATGATTCAGTTATCAAGAAGTTGAAAGTTCTTCTACCGCGGACTAATGATGA